AGACACAGTGAGAGAAGGAACACAAGCAGGGGGAGTGGCAGAGGGAGAAGCAGGCTCTCCGCTGAGCAGGGGGTCCGATGTGGGGCTCGATCCCAGGACCCTGGGATCATGACCTGAGCCGAAGGCAGACGCTTAACAACTGAGCCACCCAGGCACCCCCTAAGTATTTTATTCTTTTGAATGTTGTTATAAATAGAATTGTTCTCTTAATTTTTTTAATCTAAGCTAGTGTGTGGAAGTGTACTATTTGTGTGTTGATTTTGTGTCCTGTGACTTTGCTGAACTTGTTTATTAGCTCAACAGTTTGTGTGGAATCTGAAATTTTCTGCATATAAGATTGCATCATCTGTGAAAAGAGGTAATTCTACTTCTTTCTTTCCAGTTTGCACGCCTTTTATTTCTGTTCCTTGCCCAATTGCTCTGTTTAGAACTTCCAGTGCAACATTGAAAGCGGGCATCCTTGCCTTGCTCTTCATAGAGAAAGCTTTCAGTCCTTCACCCTTGAGTGTGGTGTTTGCCGTGGGCCAGCCACACATGACCTTTATCACGTTGAGGAGGTTTCCTTTTATTGTTAGTTTATTAAGTGTTTTTATCAAGAAAATATGTCAAATATTGTCAAATGTGCTTTCAATATCAGTTGAGACGATTGTGTGTTTGGTTTTTTTTTTCCCCTTTATTTGGTTAATATGGTGCATTACATTGGTTTTCAGATGTCGAACCATCCCTGCATTCCAGGAATAAATCCTGCCTGGTCTTGGAGTGTAGTCCCTTAACATGCTGCTGAGTCTGGTTTGTTAGTATTTTGTTGAGGATTTTTGCATTGATGTTCATAAGGGATATTGGTGTGTGGTTTTCTTGGCGTGTCTTCATCTGGCTTTGATAACGAGGTAATACTGTCCTCACAGAATGAATTAGAAAGTGTTCCTTCTTTTTGGGGGAAGAGTTTGAGGATTGTTGTTGTTGATTCTTCTTTAAATGTTTGGTAGAATTCACCAGTGAAGCTGTCTGGCCCTGGGCTTTTCTTTATTGGAAGGTGGGTCTGACTCTGTGTTGAAGAATAGGTAACATCGTGAAGCCGCCTCCAGGGTCACTCAAGGTCACACAGGCAGAGAGAGCGAAGCTGAGATTTGGGACCATGTTTCTGTGGAGAACTGTGTTAGGCAGATGGGCTTCCTGCCTTTAGCCATTTCCCAAATCCTTGGTGTGGAGGAAGGGCCCATACTCCTGTCTCGGGGTGGACTCTACACCCTGTCCTCCTGCCCCATTTCCCCCCCTGCACACCCCTCCTCCTCCCTCGTGGACAGCAGAGGGCCTGAGACACAGGCTGCCATAGCCACTGTGGCCAGAGGGATGTGGACAGGCGTTCTGTGTCACTCCTCCTTGCTGCTGCCTCCCTACTGGCATCGGGGACCAGAGAGCCCGAAGCAGGCTGCCGTGCCCAGCCCTGGTCCAGGGGTGCCATGCGGCCACCCTCACTCAGCCTCCTCTGGGCTTCGGCCTGTGCAGCTGAGGTTTGGGCCCTGCTGGGTTCCTTCAGGGAGTGCCCACGTGTGCACCTCTCGATTTCATGTCCCCTCCTGAATAGAATCCCTGGATGTCTGAGAATTTAATGTACTTCCAGTAACTCATGGGTCAAAGACAGATCATAAAGGAAGAATAGTAAAAATACCATATAGCAAAATGTATAAGGATACCTGGGAAAGAAAAAAGGCTAAAAGTGAGTGAGTTAAGCTTCTAACTTAAGGACAAAAGGATAAGCCCACCACAGGACGTGGTCAGATGAGAGCAGAGATTACCGGGAGCGGAACAAAGCAGCAGGCTGGGGATGGAAGGGCAGGTGGTCATGGAGAGACCGTGTCAAGGAAGAACCTTCAGCGTCCCCTGACCACTTAGATGGCCAGGGGACAGTGATCCCCTCACTTGTGTGGTCCCGCCGCCAGGAGAAAACCAGTCCACAGACTTTCCTCTGTCCTCTGTTTACCCCAGGACCTGTTTTTTAAGTACACTTGGAATAACTTCTTGCACTTCCAAGTGGAACTATGCATTGCCGCCATCCTGTCCCACGCTGCCCGGGAGGACAGGGCGGAAGCCAGCGGACCGGAGAGCGGGGTGCAGCTTCTGCCCGGGAACGGGGGCCCAGACACCACCCCGCCTGCCGCCAGCCGCCCTGAGAGCACAATGGTGACCCACGTAAGTCCGGCGAGTGACCTGTGTTTTGCTGTGTGCCCTGCGCATCACTGCTTGCTGAGCCCCACCCTCAGTGTGTGGATGTCGGCACTAACGCTGGCCGCCCGTGGCCACCCCTAATCCTCCCAGGACGTTGATGCGCTGCCCTCCCTCCACCCATCAGACTGCGAGTCACAAAGGAAGTGTCCACGTTTGCCAGGGCCACTGTACTGGGGGAGCCGAGGCGCCGGAGGGGGAGGGTCTGCTCCTTCCAGGCCAGTCTGCTGTACCCTGTCGTAGCCATGAAGGAAAATGCAAGGGAAAGAGAGAGCAGGAGTCGAAAATTCTCATGAGAAATGCTCTGGGATTATGGACCTTTTGAAACTACATTCTCTCTCCTTTTCCTTGCTCGCCCATGAGTGCATGATGGACGCTCACCTCCGGGACTGCCCACAGCTTTTCCGGGGCCTCAAGCAGGCACACCCCTGGTGTCTGTGTCTCTCTGCCCTGAACCGCTCTAGTGTTGTGTCTGGCAGAGAGTCGGCCTCAGCAGGTGTTTGCTAAGGAGGAGAGGAAGCAAGCAAATGCCCGGCTGGGTGCTGTTGAGAAGTAGCACTGACGCCCCTCCCCGTGTCAAGGAGCCCACTTAGAGATGCTTCCCTGGCAAGGCCCGGGGCTGTGCAGGGACAGCCCTGACCCTCAGGCTGGCTGTGAGGCCCACACAGGAGGGGCAGAGGCTCGGGAAGGCCTTGGTCTTTGGTGAGAGTCCCCATAGAAGGTGTGGCTTGAGCGAGTCCTGCAACGTGCAGGCCTGAGCTGGACAGCAGCCCAGGGGGTAGACAGCTGGGGGCAGGCGACTTCAGTGGTGAGGGCCACGCGGGGGTGGGGGTGTGCAGGGGGCCCCGTGTGGGGTGGGGTGTGAGTTGAGTCACAGAACAAACGTGCAGGCACAGCAAACAGTACTCAGGCTCACTCCTTGCTTCTGGACACAGGAGGTGGGAGGAAGCCAAGGGGAAGGAGCGGAACTGGGCAGCCCTCGGGGGACCTAGGGGCTGCAGAGAGGCCGCAATGGTGTCCCTGCCCACAGTGAGCCTTGTGCTCATGTGCCTGCTTCACCGTCTGGGGGTGGGCGGAGGGGAGTGTGCAGCCCTGTAGACCCTGACCAGTGTCACCTGGCCCTCTAGCTGTTCCAGAAGTGCTGCCTGGTCCAGAGGATCCTGGAGGCCTGGGAAGCCAATGATCATGCTCAGTAAGAACCCCCGGGGGGCTGCAGGGGGTGCCTGAGGGCCCAGTGCAGGTTTCTGGGGCCACCACGGGGTGTCCAGGAAGGGGGTCCTTTTCCTGGATGAACACCTGGAAGTGCTGTCCAGGGAAGGTCAGAGCCTAGGGGGACCAGAGGAGACAGGCCCGAGCAGCTTTATACTCCACCCCCGCCCTCCCCATCTGTCAGCCAAGACCCCATCTTACACCCACAGTGTGTCCTCAATTCTCCCATCTCCCCACCCCAGCCACCAGCCAGTTCTCACTGAGCCCTGAAACCTCCCAAGCGCATCTAAGCTACTTCCTGCTGGCTTTCCTGCCCCACCCAGCTAGGATCTTTCTGAAACACACAGATGGTCTCACCCTTGCCTAGAAGTCTCGACCACCCAGGTCCCGCAGAGGTGTGGCCTGTGGGGCCCAGTGTGGGCAGCCCCAGCCCCACCCTCACCCTGCCTTCCCTTGGCCCTGCTGACTTCTGCTCCCAGGGGCTCTCTGACCTCACCTGGTTCATGGCCCACATACTGCTGGTACAGAACCCACCAGTTTGCATCCTCTAGAATACGTACAACGTACAAGATGGGGCCATCTGTCCTTCCTTGGGCCTGGTCCTTGCAATACCCACTGAAGCCCTGGGCGGAGGCTGCTCTTGTACATTCTGTATTTGTGCACATGGGCACCTGTTGGGGGGGTACTTCATCGCTGTCACTGAGGGTCCACGACGCCCCAGAGGTTAAGACGGCAGGCTGACAGGCCTTGTCCCTGGCCCTGTCCTCCTGCGCCCTGGGCAGCTCCTCGCAGGCCTCCCTGTCCCACAGGCGCTCTCCTGACCCCTTCCTCTGCCAGGCTGGGCTCACGGGCTCAGGGGCTCACCTTTGCTTCCTCTCCGGGGCGCCGTCAGGCTTTTAAGACAGAGAACATGGTCAGAAGCAACTCTGTCCACTCTGTGACTCAAGTGCTGCATTTCTAGATGTGTGAGCATTTTACATCTTCCTAATACAGGAGGGATTTTAAGAGGTGCCCTTCTGTTGGGTCATGTGTGACAGATGAGAGGTTGAACACAAAGCTGCGTGTGCATGGCAGCGTGGGATGGAACGGTGGACAGAAGCCAGGCCGTGGGCCTCAGGGTGCATTGGGCTCGGTGAGGGGGAGGCAGTATGGACACCGGGCAGAGAGCCTGGCAGAGACAGGCCAGCTCTGAGCCGCCGGCCTCCTGCAGCAGCCCCTGCCCTGGCCTGCCTGCTTCTGGGTCCTGTGTGTCCATTCTTGATCATCCCTGGGTCAGCACGTACAGCAGAGATGCACTGTATTTTGGTCTTTCTGAGTCTTCTGCCCCACTGGGTGTTCCTTCGGGTCAGCCAGCTCTGGGCGGAGCTGGGAGGGCGTCGGGGGCTAGGACAGGTCAGAGGTGTCAGAGTGGGTCGAGGGACACGGCGTTGGACCAGGCCTGCAGGGCGGGCGGAGGCCCATCAGGCCCTGCTAGCATGGAGGTCTGGTCTGGACGGTGGGGTAGGAGCAGTGCGACTGGAGTTACTGGCTGGCACAGAGCGGGTGCTCTCCAAAAATGAGTGTCCTGCAGGTAAGGCTGTGAGGAAGGATTCGCCGGGGCGGGGTGGGGGGTAGTGGGCACAGGGAAGGCCATGCGGGGCAAGGTCAGGGCCCTGGTGGACACACAGTGAGGCAACCCCAGTGGCCCCCTGGTCCTGCCGCTCATTCCAGGGCAGCGGGCGGCATGAGGCGCGGCAACATGGGCCACCTTACCCGGATCGCCAACGCGGTGGCGCAGAACCTGGAGAAGGGCCCCATGCAGACCCACATCAGCGACGTCATCCGAGGTGAGCCCTTCCTGCCCTTGCTGCCTCTGACCCCTGACCCTCAGCAAGTGGTAACTGCACTGGAGTCAGATTGCTTTCCCACGTGGAACCTTCTCTCAGGTGGGCCTGGGTCCCAGGTGTCCGAACAGACGTCCGTGGGGGGTCTCCTTGTTCCCAGAGACCCTGTCCGGTGCCAGCATTCAGGAGCACAAGTGGCCCAAGGTTCTCCTGCGCTCTGCTCAGGGACCACCCGAGTCCTGTCTGAATGCCGCCCTCCTTTTCTGACTCAGGCAGTTTTGCAGACCTTTCCAGCACGAGTCTGCGGAGCTGGGGGAGCTGCGGGAGGTAGCCTGTGTGCTCGAGAGTAGGCTGTGGGGCCTGAGCAGAGGCAGCCCCTCCTCTGGTCGGGCCTCACCTCTGCTCTCAGCCTGAGACACCCCCACCCTCCCGACCTGGAGCCCCAACACTCGCACCCCTTTCTGGCCCTCATGTCCTGGCGTGGTTCAGACAGGAAGGCGGGCAGCTCAGAAGGGTCTGTGTGACCCCGCTAAGGCGGACGATGCCCGGGCCAGCCTGAGCAGGATGTTGAGAGGCCCCGGAGCTCGGGTGGACAGATGGACAGATAGGTGGAGTGCATGAGTGAGTCAAGGAGGCTGAGGGTGGACAGCAGCCAGGACTCCCCAAGGTGCTGGGGTTGGTGTTCTACCAGCTTCCTGACCAGGACAGTCTTCCTCAGCCCCATGTGGGATGCTTGTGCTCAGTGAATGGTGTTTGCACAAAGGAGTAAGCTCCGTCGGGAGGGTCCCCACAGGGGGTGTGGGAAGGTGGTCATGCTGCAGCCAGGCCTCAGGTGCCTGATCCTGGAGCAGGCACAGGGAGATGCTGGGGCTCATCCTCCATCATGCAGCTGAGGAAGCTGGGCCGCAAACGGTCAGGCCACTTGTGCAGCAGGTGTAGACCTGTGGCCTGGCCACACAGGCTGTGGTCTGTGAGACCCTCACAGGGTCTCAGCTGTGGTCCTTGTGGCCCATGGCCAGAGGTGAGCTGAGGAAGCTCTGGGTGGCCCTCCAGGATGGAAGCAAGGGGGTGTGCGGGCCCGGGGAGGCTCCCCACAAAGGGTACAGGTCGGGGTGCAAGAGGTGAGCCCAGAAGCTCTCTGCCGTGGTCTTCCGTCACCGGCTGCAGACGGACTCTTCCTGGGGCTGTGACCTTTCCAGAAAACAGGCACACACAGGCACATGGGTGGGACGGAGAGGGCTGGTGGCGGGCGGGGGCAGGGGGTGCGCAGAGAAGGAAGCTGGGCTGTGTTTCCTCAGCAGTCCTCCTCCCTGGTTGCTTTGCAGCTACCTGCGCGCCAAGTAAGCTCAGGGCTCCGCGCCTGCTCAGTTCAGGCCCTGTCCCTGTGAGCGCCCTCGAGTTCCTGCGGGACCCTTGGCCTCCTTCCCTTCCCACAGCCCTCCGATGTCCCCTCCGGGCTCTCCCCACCTGTGCGCGGTAGCGCTGACACCTGGTTCACCAGCGGTGCTCCCCTGCAGGGCTCCCTGCGGACTGCCGAGGGCGCTGGGAGAACTTTGTGGAGGAGACCCTGGCGGAGACCAACCGCAGGAACGCTGTGGACCTGGTGAGGGGCTTGGGGGGCTTGGCTGTTCCCGCCGCACAGCGTCAGCTGGTGCAGTGGCCATGCCTTCCTGTCTGTGTGGGCGCGCGTGTGCACAGTGCGTGTACGTTTATGTGCGTGTGTGCGTGCGTGCATGTGCAGTGTGCGCGCGCGTGTGCACACTGCGTTATGTGCACGTGTGCGTGCGTGTGCACAGTACTGTACGTGCGTGTGTGCACATGTGCACGCGTGTGCACAGTGCGTGTACGTGTATTGCGTGCGTGCATGTGCAGTGTGCGTGCGCGTGTAGTGAGTGCACGTGTGCGTGCGTGCGCGTGAGTGCGTGCGTGCGCACGTGTGCACAGTGCGTGTACGTGTATGTGCGTGTGCATGAGTGCACATGCGTGCGTGCATGTGCAGTGTGCGTGTGCATGAGTGCGCGTGTGCATGTGCGTGCCTGTGCATGTGTGCGCGCGCGTGCAGGTGCAGTGCATGTGCATGAGTGCACGTGCATGTGTGCGCGCGCGTGTGCACAGTGCGTGTGCGTGCGTGCGTGAGTGCGCGTGTGCGTGAGTGCATGTGCGCACGCGCGTGCGTGAGTGCGCCTGTGTGCACGCACGTGTGCTTGTGCGCACCCACGTGGCCCCGCCTGTGTGCAGTGGAGTCTCCGGCTCCGTGTCCTGAACACAGACCTGTCCGGCTTCAGGCCCCACTGGCCCCCTGAAGCCTCAGCAGAACTCCCTCCCTGTTACACCAGGACCCCTAGTGTGTTCTTCGGGGCTCCTAATGCCCGAGGCCCAGTGTGCCCTATGCTGAGGGGAGGGGCTAGGGGGCAGGAGCCCCGGGGGGTGCGGGGCTCACGTCCACCCACTCTGGCTGTTTCAGGTAAGCACCCACCACCTTCACCCCTCGAGTGAGGATGAGGACATGGAGGGCGTTTTCCCTAATGAGCTGTCCCTGCAGCAGGTGCGTGTGGCCACTCTGCACACCTCCGGCAGCCCTGACCCGCTCTCGGCAGCCCTCAGGCCTCCGGGGCGTGCTGGACGGCGCCCTGCTGAGCTGCCACGGCAGACAGCCCAGGGGAGTGTGCTAGTCCCCACGCACCAGGCTCGAGCAGGGGAGGGGCCGGAGGTGCAGCCCCTGTAACAAGGGGGGGACCCCCTGAGCCACCTTACATCAGTAAACCCTGGGGGATCTGGTGGATGATCTTGAAACTTAAAGGAAACGAAGCTCTTTGGACACAACCCTGCATTGGTGTTATCCCGAGAGGTTAGGTTGGGAGAAGCCGAGAAGCACCAGTGGGTTTTTCTGGGAGCAGCCTCGGGCTGAGGCCTGCCCTGCGTCACCCTCCCTGCCAGGCTTTCTCCGAGTATCAGGTCCAGCAGATGACGGCCACCTTCGTGGATCAGTTTGGCTTCAACGACGAGGAGTTTGCTGACCAGGATGACAGTGTCAAGTGAGCTCCCAGGATGTGCCCGGGGCTGTCCACCCTGGCCGGGATCCTGTCACTGGGGAGCCTCCCTTGCACACCACGGCCCCCATTTGAGCCTCCTTCTTCTCCCACGACCTTGTTCCCTGTCCCTTTTGGAAGGAGCTGGGTTCTGCTCAGTGTGACCAGGTTCCAGGCTTGCGGCCTCGTCCTGCCTGGCCCTGGAGGCTGTCCTGCCACTTCCTCAGCTGAGGGGCCGGGCTGAGACACTCTCAGCGATGGCAGGTTGTCACCGTGCAGACCAGGGACAGAGTGGACCCAGGTGGAAAAAAGCAAGTGTGTGTGAGGAGGGAGGCGGGCTCAGAGAGCCGCCCCCTTTGACTGAGGCCCCCGTCTGTTTTACCCACGTGGCCGGTCGCTGCCTGCAGAACTGTCCACACCCTTGGACTTGGCTGTGCTCCTCCCAGGAGGTGCAGCTGCATCTGGCATCCGCCAAGGGCATGAGCGAAAGTACCCGGCGCATTGGGCAGCCCTGGCGGCAGTCAAGGTGCTGAGTATCTCCCTTGTTGCAGTGCTCCCTTTGATAGGATCGCGGAGATCAACTTCAGCATTGATGCTGACGAGGACAGTGTGAGTCCTCTGCTCCATGCTCATTGGGTGTGGGTGGGGACACAGTGGTGGGTGGGCAGCAGGGGGAGACAGGGCCCCCATCCTGTGAGCCCCTTGCCTGGCTAAGCCCCTCTGGGAGCCACGTGTAGCTACGTGGGTGCTCTTGCTTGCAGCCCAGCGCAGCTCTGTTTGAGGCCTGCTGCAGTGACCACATCCAGCCCTTTGATGATGACGAGGAGGATGACATCTGGGAGGACAAGGAGATGCACTGCACTGCCCGGGTGACGGCCAGAGCCAGGTGTGAGGCCCACCTGTCTCCCCAAGCCTCCTGAGGCAGAGAGGCCCCAGAACGCTGTGTGCGCGCTCCCAGCCCTGCCCCAGCCACGATGCTCTGGATGCACAGGACAGGATGCTCCCAGGGTCCCCGTGTGGTGCTGGCTGGGGGCTGCTCTGACCATGTGTCTTTCCCCAGGTTTGGGGGTCCTCACACCTCAGAGAGCTGTTCCAAGAATGGCCTGGAGCGTGGAGGCCAGGACAGGAAGGAGGGTTTGGAAGCAGACAAGGATGCCGCTCGGGCAGGTGCCCCTCTGGCTTCTACCCAGAAGGAAGGTCCTCGCTTGGAGGGTGGCTCAGAAGGTAGATGCTGGGGACACAGGGTTCAGGCTGGGCAGGGGACTTGGACAGGGACACAGGCCCCGGCCGGCCTGTGCATGGTGGGGGCTGCAGTGGGCTTTTGTCACCTGCTCACTTGATCTGTACGAGCTTTCGAGCAATGTTCCTGAAGGTGGCACTTGTCCCATGCCCCCAGCCGTGGTGGTGCAGGATTGGTGGCAGACCCCGGCTGCCCCCTGCCCCCAGTTGAGGTTACCCTAGCCACATTGTCACAGTTGGTGGCCGTGACACCACTGGTCCACTTCTTGTGGGGTCCCCGCAGCTCCGGGCTTCAGGGCCCTGAAGGCAGGTGGGGCCGACCTGTGGGTCAAGGGTGCCTGGACTGCTGTGTCTCCCCCCAGCAGGCACCTCGTGGACGGTGTTTGACGAGCCGGTGAACTCGCCGGCACCGGCCCCGGGAGTGGCGGTGGATGTGGGTTCCAACGTGTGGGCAGCCAGCACCCCCAGCTCCTCGGCTTTGGAGGAAAAAGGCTGGGCCAAGTTCACCGACTTCCAGCCTTTCTGCTGGTGAGATGGGGCGGGCCGGGAGGTCACCCCATCTGCCCTTGGGGGTGGCATGTCCCCAGAGGGGGCTCAGCCTTGCCTTCCACAGCTCCGAGTCGGGGCCTAGGTGCAGCTCCCCAGTGGACATGGGCCACGGCGATGCCCAGGATGGCCCGAAGCAGGGCCCCGAGAGAGCCCGTGAGTAGGAGGGGCTCTGAGCACAGGGAGTGGGAGGATATGGCCAAGGCCCCTCGGGCTGTGTCTCCCTGGCGATGCTGGGCTTTGCAGCCAGCAGTCCTTGGGGTGCAGATATGACCGGCCTGCCCCATCCACACTGCTGGGAGCCTTGCTTTGTCCGTGCAGATCACCCCCATGCACTGCGCCACCTCCCTGGCCATCCTGGGGGCTGTTCAGGGTCCTTGACCCCGAGCCCCTCATCAGACAGGCTTGGAAGCCCCACAGGGCTGAGTGGGGGCCCTCCGTGCCTGGGGGAGGACCGTCTCTTCATACAGTTTCTGTAAATGCACACATGCACACGTGGGTTTGAGGACCCTGAGGCCGTGCCCTGCGGCCCCTCTGTCCTCCCTGGACGTCAGCAGCTCCGTCTTGTAGTAGGCCCGGCTTCCCCATGTGCCTGGAGCGCCTGTGTCACCAGGAAGGCCCCCTTGGTGGTCTCCGACCACAGTGAGGACGAGCAGAAGATGGCTGGTGCCTTGGAAGCTGTCAGTCTGGGTCCCAGCCGGGAGGCTCCCCTGCTGCCCGCATCAGTCCCCAGGTGTGCAGGATGGGGTGGGCACAGGGTCCCCAGGGGCACACGGATTTCTGGCTGTCCCTGGCACTCTGCTCACCTGGGAGCAGGCTGACCCTGATGACCTCATGACCGAGGATGCTGGCCCTAGGGGGGTTGGGACGCCCATTTATCTAAGTGGGAGCCAGGGGTCAGGGGCATTTTCATTGAGATAAAGCACAGGGCCTCAGGGTCCCACCCTGGAGGCTCGGAGTTGGGGCTGCCTCACCCCTAGGTCTTACTGAGGACAGTGGCCAGGGTTTTGGGTCTCTGGCCGGCTGAGCTGCCACCCCAGGATCTGGGGTTGCTCCATGTGGTGGGGAGAGGGCACAATGGCCTTTATGCCCCACTCAGCCTGCACCTCAGAAATGCCCTTCATGCTCAGACAGGATGGGGGTGTCTGAAGACCTCGTTGGGCCACGTGAACTCTGACTGCAGGCATCCTCCCAGCAAGCTTCTCCCCACGCATCCCTCCCTCAGGCACAGGAAGAAGGTCCAGGCCTTTGGGATCTATCGTTGGACCGACCCCTGGCTGGGTCTGGTGGGCTGGGGGGCGGGGAGTGGGGGGAGTGTTAAGGAGCTGTGAGTTGTGAAAATAGGGAACTGGGGGCCGGTGGGCACTTGAGAGAGGTGGTGGTGGAGCCGAAGCTTATAGGGGCAAGGGGGAAGGTCCCCCGGCAGAATCCCAGCAGGAGGGGACAAAGACCAGGTACATGACTGCGTGAGTGGTGTGGTCTCTCCTTCCCCCACAGCCCGCTGCCCCAGCCCTGGGGGTCCCAAATGGTTTTGGGGCTTGGTCCATCCCATTGGTGGGGGTCTACTCTGGCTCACAGCACACTCGTTCTCAGGACCTCAAACAACATGGCCTGTCCTCGTTAGCCCCCTGCCCTTGGGGGGCACAGCCTGGAGCCAGCGGGGTCTCAGTGTTTACAAGCGTGGGTCAGACGAGGGGGCAGGGCACCAGGGCCCATGCATGGTGGCTCTTGGATTACAGGTGCACATCGGGTTCTTGAATGGGTTTAATTCTTTCTCAAAGTTCAGAATCACTGCAAGTCTTAAAACCTCTTCCTTTTTTCCTGACTCCCCCACCTACAAACCACCTCTGCTCTGAAAAGCAAGTATGGTCATTGTGAAAGCAAGCATGCATTTCCAGGGCTGTCTGCACCAGCATTCCCAGCCAGCCTGTGGGGAACCCCCAGGTGATGCCCATCTGGGCCAACACGTGGTCACCAAGGCTTAGGGTCTGTTTCTTATGCTGTCCGTGGCTGCTCCACCCTGCCTGGCTCCCAGGGGTCTTGTGTGGTTGGAGGTGGTCTCACATGTACCAGAAGCAAGCACTGGGCAGGTGTGGGCTGAATGGGGAGCCACGGGCTCACTCTCCTGCTGGGCTGCAGCGAGGAGGGCCAGTGTCCTGAGGTCACCTATTCTTGCCCTCTCCAGGCGTGGGAGGGAGCGTTCCTGGGCACATGGCCTGCGGGCCCTCCCATAACCCGGCGTGGGGCTGGGGGCTGTCTGGAGAGGGACCAGGTGTCGGGGGGCAAGCTTGGGATGCGCGCCGCCTGGAAGGTCTGGGGCCTCAGTGGACAGGCAGGTTGTCTGGTGCTTTTAGCACTTGGGGACGCAGAGCTGCCTTGGCCAAGTGGGTCCCTGGGCTACCCTGGCGGTGGTCCAGGACGCTGGAGCCTGCGTTTGCCATACAGGGCGGACACGCTGTCAGACCCCACCTCCCCCACGCCTGCAGAAGCAACCTTCACCTCGGCCGTGGCTGTGCCCCCCGAGGCTGCTGTGGCGGCCAGCCCAGCACCGAGCAAGGCCAGCCCTGCCCCAGCCACCGTGGCAGGCTCCCCGGGGCCTGTGGTGGCCATCAGCTCTGCGGCCCCAGCCACGTGCACGGTAGCCGTCCTGGGCACCGTGACGAAAGACAGGTGAGCAGGTTGGGCTGGGGGGGCTGCACGGGTCTCTCGGGCCCTGAGGTCTCCAACCCCCACCCGTCCTCCTACAGGAAGATGGACTCACCACCCCCTGCAGGAGCCGCCTTGAACGGCCCCGTGTGATGCTGCTGCCGCCCAGCCACGGCGCGCCCTTATCGAGAAAACTACCTGGTGATGCAATTTGTCTTTTTTAATTTAATTTAATTTAATTTTAAAATAAATGCTGCATTGGTAGGGCTGCCAGTTGGAACCAGTCGGACAGCCCGGCTTGCGTCTCTCCCGCCTGACCCCAGCTCCGCGCACAGCAATAAGGCCTCAGACGTGCGCTCTGCCGGCGGGAGCCGGGGGCCACGACCCCAAGACACCGTGCGCACGGAGGGCCGCGATGGGCATGGATGCCATGGGCTCCGAGCCTCAGTTTTTACGGATTTTTTTTTTAAACAAACGCAGGAAAGAGCCACGTGTTTGCACTTTTGTGTCCAGCCACAGCAAAGGGTCTCCTGGCTCTGGGGACAGATGTGGGTCTGGAGCTGGACTGGCCAGACAGGGTCTTAGCTGCCTAGTGTCCCTGGGAGCTGGCCTTGAGCCAGGCTGCAAAATTTGACTGCCTTAAAATAAGACCCTCACGGCCTGGTGGGGCAGTTGGGGCACCTGGCGGGGGCTGGCCATGGGTGTGCAGGATGGGGCGCAGGGGTGCGGAGACTGGCCTCAGCGGTGCCAGGTGGGGTGGGGTCTGCACCTGTTGGGGAGGGCAGGGCCAGGCCACGTTGTCCTGGAGGGGTCTGTAGGATTATTTTGTGTGGAGTCCATTTTTAATGTTCTGATAATCTGACAGGGCACCCACGACCCCAAGTCCCAATAAAAGTTGTGTTATTCTTACTGATAAGCCTGTGTATTGTTAAGCTGCAGGCCCTGGACCCCAGCCTGACCGGCGTGGCCGCAGCAGGGAGTCCCCAAACCGGAGCGAGTACTGAACTGCTCTTTTTAAACAAGCTCCGCCTGGAGCTCGCGAGCCAGTGCTGTCCCCAGGGCCGTCCCGTCCTCACTGGCTGGGCAAGGGGGGCGGCCAGCAGGGCCTCCCTGGGCACTCAGGGCCAGGGGGTGGGTCAGCCCACTCAACAGCCTTGGTCCTGCACTGACCTCACCCTGTGGCCCCTGCTTTGGTGACTTCTGACCTCCCTCCCAGGGACAGCCTCGTGGCTGCCCGGCCCCCGTGTGAAATCAGGTGGGCATAGGGCCCCAGGTGTGGATTTCCTGGGCCTTGGGACCCTCAGTCCGATAGCTGTCCGTGTGGCCCAGAGAGAACCGGGGGCTCTCCTCACGACTCACCTGACATTACCTGTGGGTCTTGCCTGTGTCCACACCTGCTGCTGACCTCCCCCCAACAGGTGCCACCACCTGCTGGGCATCCCCCGCACCCCACCTGGCCGGCTCAGGTGCAGGTGGGACTCACATTTGTGTGGGAAAGGAGAGGGGTAACCCCAGTGGCACCCATCACGCCCCAGACAGAGGCCAGGGCATGGAGAACGGTCAGGGCCTGAGGCAAGATCCCAGGAAGGGGGAGGGGCGGGCATTTGGAGCAAACTCCCCAGGACCCCCAGCCCCGACACGTTGTAACCCGCTGCCCCTCAGGGAGCCCGCCCTCATCAGCATCTCCCTCCCATCACTCCCTCCTCTAACCTGGGACTATCCTCCGGACAGTCTGGCCCCATCTGCCCTTTTAGAGCACACCTGCAGATGGCCACCTTCTGTCCAGGGGCTGCTTGGGGGTGCGGTGGGGGGGAGTGCCAGCCCCAAGACCACCCCCGAGGGTGGCTGGGCACCAAGCAAGGGCCTGATGAAGCTGCCTCCCCCCACCCCCGGCACCAGCTCGCCCCCCCCACAGCGGACGTGGGCCCCGCAGAGTGGCTGGCGGGGGCTCTGGACGGGCCGAGGAGACACAGGCATGTGCGTGTTGTTAGTTCTCTCTTTATAGCCGGTTGTTCAGGGAACGCGTGGCCTGTGGCCGGCCGGGGGGGCCCCCATGGGGGGTGGGGGGGGGGGGGTGTCTATTTACAGGCCCACCGCGAGGGCTGTACCATGGCCGCCTCCCGGCCGGCGCTCACCCATAACTGCAGAATAAGTTACAGCTGGCCAGGCGGGCGGGGGTGGGCAGGGGTGGGAGCTCGCAGGGGCTGTACACCTAAGTTTGGGGGGTGGGACCTCAATACTGTCGAGGGTGGGGGCTGTAAACATGGCCGGGGGGCCCTGCCCACCCCTAGTGGTCTCTAACGACGGGACGTGCAGCAGCTGGAGCAGAGCTGGGCTCAGGCGTCTGACAGGCAGCTCTGGATCTGGTCCACCCACTGCTGGGCTGAGGGCACGTCCTGGGCACAGAAGTTGTAAACGCGACGCGTCGTCTTCACCTGGGGACGGCCGGTCGCTGACTCCACGGTCCCACCCCACAGAGCCCCCTGCCCTGCCGTCCCTGGGCCCCGGCCACAGCTCACATCAAAGAAGGCCTTCTCGTCCACGGTCTTGGGGGCACCCAGGGTGGGAGTGCCGGGGGCCACGGCCTCCACTTCTGCCAGGTCGATGACACCCTTGCACTCCGTGTCCACACGGTGGTCATAGTAGCGCAGCTGAGGAGGGGTCCGGGGGGGGGGGCAGGAAGTCAGGGCAGCGCTCCCCCCTGCCAGCTCCTAACCCCCCCCAGCCCCCCAACCACTCACCTGGTGCTTGGTCTTGTCCAGCACGAACCAGCGGGCCTTCCAGGGCTTCATGAAGGCCCCCTTCTTGTACAGGGTGCCCTCGTACGACCTGCATGCACAGCAGGACCAGGCCGGCCATCAGGGCCACCCCTACCCGCCGAGCCAGCTGAGCCCCTGCCCTCAAACAGACCCAGGCTGGACTCGAAGGCTAGACTGGCCAGGGGGTCATGAAGCTGCCCTGGGGCTGTTCTTAGAAAAGAAAGGAGAGTCCCCATCCCTCGCCCCTTGCCCCTTGCAGGACAGGACACGGGAGAGGGTCTAGCACCAGGGTCTCAGGGTCTCTGGGAAGCAGCTGCACGTGCAGGGCAGGTGCCCTCGGACGAGGAACGCGCAGCAGGCGGGTCCGGGGAGGTGACCGTGGCAAGGTGGCCCCTCTCCAGCCTGCCAGGCCCCAAGCTCACCTGGTGCCTTGCCTGCCCTCACGGGTACCCCACAGCTGCTGTCCCTCTACTCCTGGTTCTACGTCCCAAACCCCTTCCAGAAGAGCCCTCCTGCTTCTCACACGGTCAGCTTATGCCTGGGCCACCATTTTGGCATCACGGCCTCCCTCACAAATCCTTCCACCTAAGGAATGGCCAGGAGTCCCCTGAGACGCCGGCCCCCACCCTGAGAACCGCCCCAACCCAGTGCCCCAGCTCCGAGGGTTCCACGGCAGAGCGGGAGGCGTCCTCACACCTGTTCTCGCTCTCGGCGGTCTGGAACTGGCTGTACAAGGTGCTGGTGCTGCGGCGGGCTGCCTGGCGGGAACTGGACGCCGTTGAGCCGCTGCTCTGGTCGCTGTCCAGGCTGAGGCTCAGAGTGGAGCCCACAGGCCCCTCCTGCAGGTACACACCTAGCGAGCGGCGGTGGTGGGGCACGCTGGACACCAGCAGGGAGCTGGGGGTGCCCTGGGAGCAGGAGGGGGGCCTGTGTCAGGGCCGGTGGCCGCCACCCCTCTTGACCGCAAGCTCACCCTGGCCACCCACACCCACGCCCGCTCACACGTCCGTCTGGCCGGCCCTCGAGGCGCTGTGCTGCCTTCACCCGATCCCAGGTGTCCTTCCAGCGCTCAGGGGGTCGCCCCAGCTCCGCCTCCAGCCGCTGCAGCTCCTGGGGGAGAATTGGAAAACTAAGGTCACTCAGAAGAAAATACCCAGACCGAAATACATTAAGACAGAATCACGGAACACAGGAAGTTGAAGTGACGGAAAGGTCTGACCTGTATTACGGGAGCACGGAAGTGGGTGAGGGCAGGGGATGGGCAAAAACAATTACCGGGAGAGAACAAAAATTAGTTGTGCAAACTAACAAGGAGCGCTGGGCAGAGGTGTGGAGCTCGGGGACGCTGACACGCATGGATCCACAGGGTGGCACAGGAGAGGGCATACGAGAGCTCTAGAGATGCAGAGGCCGGCTTGAGTCCTCGGCCAAAGTAGACCGCCATGGGCCAGGCAAGATGTCACCAGCCTGGCAGAGAGCAGCTACCAAGACACTGTGAGCTAAATCCAAATTCTGGAGGGTACCCAACGCAGGAAGATGCAGGAATTCCAAACGGAGTGGAGGTACCTCGCTGAAGCCCTGGAGAGGCCATGTCAGAGTCGGGCTCCTCTAACCCTAGGATAAAGGCTTCTCTAGAAGTGCCCTAGCAAAGCGGAAGGACGACCCTTGAGAAGACCAAGCTGAGCCACACCTTCTTTAACTGAGTGCAAGGATAAAATCCAAAACTCCTTAAAGGAAGACAACACAATCCTGATCCTCAACAATGCAGAATCCACAATGTCGATTATTAAAAAAATTATTAGACAGAAAAGTAGGAAAATGAGAGCCATACTTAAGGCAGATGTTACAAGAAATAGATCCAAAAAAGAAATAGGTATTGGAATTGGCATACGAGAAATTCAGAACAGTTGTTATAAATATGTTTAAGATGTAAAGAAAAAGACATAATGGTCAAGCAGACAGGAAATCTCTACAGAGC